TGACAAAGTCAAATGAATATTCTGAACCATGACAGGGCTAGTGAAAAGTATCAGTCAGGGGAATGATAGGCTATGACAACACAGCATTGAATTTCCCTTGTAATAGGGTTATCAAATAGCACTGCTGTAATACTACTGCTGCATTGAGCCAGCCTGCAACTTTAGTGTAAACCAAACACTGCACATTAACAAAAGCACACCGTCCCCACCATGAAGGCTTAGTGGTAGCAAGGTCGGGCTGTGGGGATGCTTCACTGCAGCAGGCCCAAAGGGCTTGTGAGGGTAGAGGATCAAATAAATACAGCAAAGTACATCAATTGTGGAGGAAGACCTTCTTCAGGATGTACAACCACCATTTAGGAAAATGTTTTTCTAACAAGACAAGTTGCCCAAACATAAAGCCATATGAGAGTCCAGACATTAACCCATTTGCAATTCTGAGGCAGGACTTGAAAATATTTACTTCCCATGCAACTTGACGGAGTCAGAGCAGTTTCACAAAGATGCGTGAGGAATTCACTGATCCATCCATGCAAACTATGTAGATATTTTACATTAAAGGCAATGCTGTTGAAAACAAATATGCCAAAAAGTGGTGAATACATTTAATAGGCAGTGATTTTCTTTCTTTCTTTCTCAGTTTATCATCTTTATAGTATTCCTCCAAATCTGTGAATTTCTGTCCTACAGTGAAACAAATGTTAACAATAAATGCCATTGCCTCAGAGAAGAATATTTTTTAATTCCAGAAAAGCATCAGAAAATATTAACAACTACAATTTATTCGTTGTCTAGTGTTAGTCTCTGAATTAAAATATTTATCATTTAGAGAGTGACATCAGGTTACAGGTTTAGGCAGGGTTGTATGTATGATCAAGAAAAATGGTCCGCTTTCAGTCATTCTTGTTAGGGACTGAAACTGCAAATATTGTCTCTTCGTAAATCTCATCAAGAGTCACACTGATCAGAGGAGCCAGCGAGCAGTGATCGGAAACGCAGGAGCATGGTGCTGCTGGATGGGCAGTGGACCCTAAAGACATGAAGGAAAATTGGTATTAATGGAAAGAAATCAGAGGCAGAGTTTGTATTTTTGTATTTAAATTTGGAAACGTTGTCATAGTCCCCCATCATTAAAAACAAACATAAAAGACATTCCTCTGTTGTACTTCAAAGCATTGGTGAACCAGAATCCTGAGACACTGTGCAGTGTGGGTGGGACACAGCATACTGAAGGTGGGTGCAGAATTTTAGTTTTGTTTTCACAGTAGGAAACAATTTCTTTAATATTAGCACAGACAGGAGGAATGATTATAGTAGGGCCACAACTAATTATTACTTTAATAATCGATTAATCTGTTGTTTACTTTCTCAGTTAATTACTGTCTCACCTCACGTTTAGCAATTTAGCTTCATGAATGACTTTATAATCGCTTCTTACAATGATTGCAGAATGATTTTCTGTTGACCATCTAACTGATTAATTGACTATCAACGATTGTTTCAGTTCTCTTTCAATGTACACATGGGCATATAAATATCATAATAAACCTCTTCTACCCTGCAGCACCAACTTCTACAAATATGTTTTGCAGCTGAGCTGTTTGAGCTTTTAAAACTTGAAATTCTTGTAGAAAGTATAGTTTCCAGAGATATCAAATGCCAATTCATTCAGAATCCCAGGAATCCATAACCTGATGAACAATATTCAGCTGGTTAACATCTCCATTTGATATAAGGGTGCTGCCATTTGAAAATACTCTGGGTTTTACTGTTTGAGTATTCAGGACTTGGCTTCATTCATTAATCACAGTAAAAATCAGACAGAATATGCTGTACAGCTATGTGACATTAATGGACATGAATATTTTGACCACTGAAATTTAAGGGGAATATCAGGTTTCTTGTATGTAAATAGCACTGAGAGTACATTAGATAAGGGCAGTGGTAGAAGAAGTCAGAGGATCAATTAAATGCTGCAAACATAGAGAAATCCTGGAAGAAGACCTGTTTCAATTTGCAAAAAAAAAAGTATTTTGGAATGTTTGTTTGAAATTTGTTTTCTAACAGGATAACTACCCGAAACATAAAGGTGTGAATCGATTTAAAAATTAGTGGCAGGGCATAAAAATGGATATTAGCTCCCTGTGCAACCTGACAGAGCTTGAGCTGCTTTGCAAAGACACATGGGTAATCAGATCATCTACTTTAGTAAAAGCAGCAATTAGCACCATAAATTCACTCAATTACAAGTAAATATATAACATTCAAAACTTTACTGAAGTAAGCATAATGTACTTCTAGGTACATTTAAGTACTTTAAGTAAAAATACTCGTTGGTAGAATATTGGATCATTATTACTGATACAACATGCAAGCAGCATTTTAATGTTGCTACTTGTTTAGGTGAAGGTAATATACTTTGCATATTTATGGGTATATAACATTGCAGCATATTGTACAAATAGTTGTGATGTTATATATTTCGTACATAAAATCTTGATTTGTGAACTAACTATATTTTTTAGATAAATATGTATATTAGCCTCTGAAATGTAGAGCAGTCGAAGTATAAAGTAAGATAAAATGGAAATAGTACACATACCACAAAAATGTATTTACGTAGCGACAGTACTTGAGTAAATGTACGTACGAGGGCACAAGGAATTGCAGTTTTCTCCTGTACCAAACTATAAATGTACCTCTATTAAACGCCTCTGTTGTCAGCAGTAGTCCCACAGCCAGCTGCTGCTCTGCTGCAGTTCACATTAATAAACCGGCATGTTTTCTTGCTGACATTTAAAGTTTTAGTTTCTGTTGGCTATGAATATATCAAACCTACAGGCATTCATTTATTCAATCCCAATATTTTCATAAGAACAAAATAATACCATGTCACCATTAAACGTTACGCAGCCATGGTTAGACACCGTTCTTCTTCGTTGCGCTTCTTCGCAGCTCATTACAGTATTTTACGGCAGTTGGCAAATAATAAATACCGCCTTAGCGCCCCCACCGTCTCGGAGTACGAACGGATTTTCCTCAGGCAGATGTTGCTGTCAAAATTGCTTTTGCGAATATGCACCCGAACTTGCCCCCGAATTCGCCCGTTCACTAATTTCATTTAATTTTAAATTAATTTATTCCCTACGTTATAATATAGGGTACCCCTCAAAAGGTAAACTCTTGTGATTAGTAAACTGAGGTTTGGGACACCTATGAATCAAAATCATGATAGTTTTTCATCACTAATGACAGGCACTAATATAGAAATACAGGATAGAACTATTCGATCCAGAAATTAAAGGTTATAATAGATATCCAATTATTATAAATCTTTATTGGAGTATGACCTCATAGGGAAAAATGCCACCATGCAGATGGGTAACAATAATGAAAACAAACAAATAGTCCAAACAATATTATATAACATACATTGGTGTTAGTGTTAAGGATGGAAATATGTTCATTGCACAATTTGTTTTTAAATACTGCAATACTGCAATTTTAAAACACCAATCTGTCTGCAGATCTGTCAGTATCCTTACACACATTTTTATTTAGACATTAGTGTAAACATAAGTGTAAAGATTCAAGGACAGTAAGAACCTGATATAATACTAATAAATATAGATTATTTTACATATTAGTTGTTTTATATTTACAACTATATCACCATATTGGTAATTTTGCAAAATTGTTCATATGATGCATATGCAAAATAAAAAATAATAGTTAATAAGACCAAAATATGTCCACATATAGCAATTAAATAATGTTTTTGTACAATTTAAACTACTTTTATCTATATACTAAGTGGAAAAGCAAAAGATGAATTCTAGACAAATTGTAATTATGATTTTATTTAAAAACAACAAAATATAAACCACGCTACACTTTTAAAAAGCCTATTTTCTTCTTTGTACAGAACATTTTAGTGTTGAACACGCATTATTAAAAATGGCCACATGTGAACAATCATCACAAAGACAGGGAAAACAGTTCACTGGAAAAATTTAATTTCATGTATGTTTCTATTCCCTGGTGAGTATATAGTGAACCTGTTCTCAGCAAACCAGCATCTGAAATGCAGACCCATCTATGTGCATTTAAAGGGGGCTCACTCCAAGCCAAAATAATTCCCATTTATTTTGGTCTGAATATACACAACACATATTTTAAAAAAACAAATCTTTCTCCACAAAGATAGCTCCATAAGAGCAAAATACATCCAACAAATTATTCTCAAAAACAATCCCTTGAACAATGAAGGAATGTAGTGCTGGTTCATCTTGGCAATACCAGTACAAACACAAAAAGACCACATGACAAACAGAATATTATCACCAACTGAATAGCTAGGAAACAATAGAAACACTTGGATTACGCTACACATTACGTTGTTGAGTCCACCTTTAAACTTTTTTTTTTTTTTTTAAATCAAAAGTTACGTTGTTGGGTTTTGCTTCTCAGACACAATTGTCTGGTCACGTTTGTCAAGTCTACTGTGAGTGTTTTGGCACAAAATGTGGCTGCATTATTTGTAGTATATGTGATCTGCATGAAATACATAATTCCTAACTGTCGTGTAAATTGTGCTGATATGAAGATCTGGCAAAACTGCAAACCATCATTGCATTACCCAATGACTTAGTAATATCTGCATAATAGAAAACTGTTGTTCACACTTAAATCTACAGTAACCATTCATGAAAACACAATCGAGCTGCTTTTTTTCTCTTAGGGTTGGTTTCAATAAAGTATCTTCACTCCATCATAGGGAGCGTTGCACCTGAGGTACCATTAGCACATGCTTCAGAATCAGAAACTGCATTCAAGCTCGTCCAGTCAAAAGGAAATTACGGTAAATAGAGAAATGTGTACCAGAAGTCTTCCTTCCTTTTCGACCCAGGACTTGACAGCAGCAGCAGCAGCAGTAGCAGCATGCTCACACAACATATCTGCCAACACTATCCTCTGAAATTAAGATTTTTTTTTTTTTTTTTTTTTTTTTAAAGTACAAAAGGTCTCCACCTCTCATAAGCCATACGAGCCAGAACACACACAAACACACACACACACACACACACACAGTCCTTCCTAACAGGCCACTCCTGCAGCTACTGGGTATACTGGCTGTGCTTGTGTGGATATCTTTCGATGCCAATTTCTAGGGTGAATATCGAACCACAGCTGGGCTCTCAGTTTGATTCCCTCGTTTTATATGTCTATGGCATTCTCAGTGAACATGATGCTGGGCCATTAGCAAATATTGCCCCTTAAAAGGCCCAAAGTAAATGACAAAACACAGAATTTACCTATTTCAAGGTTTGTTTATGGCTCAGCAGAGCTTCTGCTGTAGAGCAAATATTAATGATTATTTTTAGATCGTCCCTTCACAAAATCTGACACAGACAAAACATTCTTTGATCTGAAATATTTCCTACAACCTCCTTAAAGGTATGCACAAGAAATGGAGCAGAAGTGTGAAATGGGATTTAAAAAAGGGATCTTCTGTGTGAATCTCGCCTGTGCAAATGACTGTGGGAAGATATTACTATACAGTACTATACTATACAGTGTGAGTGGTGTTGCAGCACATTATGGGTAAAAATAAAAGATGACTAATTGAAAAAAGTGTTGACAGATATGTTGGGTAGCGCCACACTGCCCCAGCTGGAGGATGGTGAGGGAAACCCCGGTTTGTACACATAACTCCTGTCTTCAGTCAGTATGGAGTCCGTTAGAACCGCTGTATGTTCCTACAGAGTGTTTTCCTCTGGGGAGAAAAGAGCTGCCAGGCCCAATGCTTCACTGTTCTGTACATCCTTGTCTGGCTTCGGCTTTTTAAAGAGCGATGGAAGATTCCGGATATGAACCTCCTTCCTGAACTGCTGGCACAGAGCTTTCTGTTGGCAGGGGACAAAGAAAGGGGAGGTTAAACAGAGCTATCCCAGATCTACCAGAAAGAATTTCATTAGACTGCACAGCCCTGTTGAGCTGCTGCACTTTCCTTTTTTTTTTTTTTTTTTTTTTTCCTTTCGCTGCCGACCACAGAAGATTTACAACACAGCCCGAATCACAGTGCTGAGTATTGACGTGGACTATTAAGGCCAGTGTCTCTGGTCACTTCTGATGTCTGTCTGCATTGTGATATAATAGAGAAACATTGCCCTCCAGTGGCTAAATGTGACATTACCCCAACAGTTCCTGCAATGAGCTTCTTGAACTGGTCTTTTCTCTTTTTGTCTCCAACTTTCTGGGCATTGGGGTCCATGAGCCTGTGGTCATACTGGTCCAGAGCCTCCACACTGATGTTTGGGATCTGGGTCATTACTGTTCTCAGCTCCATGTAGCGAGGCCGCTAAGACAGATGGGACAGACAGATGCACACACAATCAAGGAGATTAAAAGAGAGATGAGTTCTCAGGAATTAACTCAAATTTGAGCACATATTATATCCCTAAAACTAAAAAAAAAAATCTGACAGACAGAACAATAATCAAGAAAAGAATGGGAATATATTAGTTTATAATTGATTGATTTATTGTCTGGCTGATTGCTATTTGCAGCACTAGGTGACTTGCAGTAAAAGAGACTAAGAGAAGAGTGTAACTCTCAAAGGGAAAAATAAATCAAACAAAAAGGTAGAAATAAAGAGCATCCATGGCAGAAATGATTTCCATTGGCCTCACCAGGTTTTCATAGATGAGCATGGCCAGCTGAGAGAGGGTAGAGTTGCAGACTTCATGCTGCCCATGAACCTGAAGGCCCCTAAGAACACTGGTATAGAACCACGTGACCGCCTCAGGAAGAAGATTACCCCCTACGACCTGGAGAGACACAGAGTGAATGTGGGAGGAAAACTTTAGAAACATGTAGAAATTTAAGATACTTTTACCGCAACCTTCCAGGTCACAGGTGGTGACCGAGCATCAATTTAGACATTCAATTAGTTAGAAAAGCTTGACATGGAAAAGGCAAAACAGTGCTTTAAAGAGGGATGCAAATACATTAGTGGTAAGAAAGGTTTGAGTGGCAAAGGTTTACATGGAAATACATGAGAAGATCAAGCTTGATCTGATGGGGTGGGTCACAAATATCTCAAATGCATCCACTTTTATATTCTCAACAAACCCCATTATAATCACCACCAATGACAATAAAACTCATAATAACACTAATAATAATAATAATAAAAACACTGTTAAAAAGGATGATGGATGCTCCTTCATTATGAAGAACATATGCATACGAACTAACGCACGGTTGGCTTTGGTCTTTTCAGGGGTTTTGTGGACAGTAATAAAAATATAGAATATAGCAAGCTTTAGTGTGTGACATGAGAATTTAAAAAAAAAGAAGTTTTCTGTATTGAGTGTACTACCTGCCGCAGAAGGGTCCAACAGACCATGGAAGCAGTTCGGTGACAGTTGGTGGTGTCCTTCCACGACAGTGAGGTGAAGGAGAGGGTCAACAGGGACATGTAGATGTTCTGGGCAAAGAAAAAAAGAAGTTTATTTTTCAACATTTAATGTGTGACTCTACCAAGTGTTCTGTGATGTATCTCAGACTGACCTCGTGTTTCATCAGGCATTTTCCCAGCTCAGTCAGCTCCTCTGTGGGCTGAGCAGGAGACGCTGTCTGCACTGACTCCATCATCATGTCCTCCTCTACGCAAGAACATTTCAGGCAAAACAATGAAATGCTTCTCAGAAGAAAAAACAAACATAATCCACCTACTGATTCAAATTTTCTCATTTGGCTCTTACCTTCTACTTCCTCCTTATTTGCTGCATGTTCAGGCACTTTTCTGGAAATACAGCTCACAGCTAGAGGAGAAGAAAGAAGTATTATGGCCCCATAAAAACTCGACCCGGGAAAAGCTGATCAGGCAGTTGTATGCCATATCCTGAAAATCCCACTACTCATATTTTTTAGTACCTTCTTAATACACGTCATAAAAACCACACTCTCGTTTCTCCGTGTACATGAAACCGATCTCGCCTTGTGATGCAAGATTAATTTCAGAGTAATCTCACAATAAAGTGCAATTCAATCCAATTAAAGGTACTTTAAAAAAAAAAAAAACATTTTTCAACATTCAGTGAGTTGTTGATTTTGGACTCCCCCAACTGTCTCTTAGGATAAACTCAGGCATTAGATTGTCAGTCACCAAGACCCATCAAACTGGAAGGAAGACGGTCTCATCTACAACAATAATGTGAAGTTGTAGCTTTATCTAGGAATTATAGCTGGTATTTGCACTTCGCACTAATGTGGGCTGAAACCATTTTTAGCTTGTGTAGCTGGCAGAAACACAACCTTATCACATGACTAAAGTGCATTAGCAGTATTAAGGAATAAGCCCTGAGCGTCGCTTCACACCTCGATTTACAGTCAGTGTAGACAGGGACATTATATTGCTATCAGAAAACACCTTTAACATTATTGTACTATGGATAATTCACATTTGAAATAAATATTGCAGGTTCTTTGTAAGACAACAAATGTTTGCCACACATGTATGGAAACTGAAATGGGAGCAGTTACTAGAGATGCTGAGACTTACAGAGAAGATCCAGCACCTCCCTAGTGAGCAGGCGCACCAGCTGCTCCTCCAACATCTCCTGCGTCACCTGGCTCTCCTGACCCACCACCTCCTCCTCATCCTCGCCACTAAAACACACAATAAACAGGTTGTCAGTAAGTCCACATATCCAATTAGAGCTTTGACACGGTGAACCCTCCGAGAATTAAACTATATTCAATAGAGGCTTTAAAGTTACAATGGAGACGGATACACTATCCCATAACTTACTTTATTGAGGTCCTCTGGTTGATGACCTGCCACTTGACGTTGAGTCTCTGTAGTATGAAGCAGAAGCGAGGTCATGAGATTTGGCAACAAAAACCAACTGTGACTGAGTGAATTAAGTGTATCTAATGGTGAGATTAAGGATGACGTTTTACAGAATGAGAAGTGTGGACATCCTGACCTGCTGCATGTAAGCGAACAGAGGGCCCAGCAGGGGGCAGAGCAGACTCTCGTGGTACTCCTGAGGACATGATTGCACCAGCTGCCTCAAAAACACCCGTACACTTGTTAAGGAAATTCAATGTTAACATAAAGCAATAACTAAGCTTTGTTTATGTAGAGTAGGATCCATCCCAAATTAATCATATAAAAAGATCTCTTACACATGTGTACTGTATATCACCAAATTACTGACTGAAGCATGGTTATACAAAAAAAAAAAAAGGTAAATGAAATGAAGCAAAAGCAAATAAGGATATGAATCATAGGGCGAAGTCTGTGGTCAGGCACATGGTCGAGGGAGACAAAGGCAGAGCCAGCGATTTCTTGAGCCAACCTCTCAATGGTGTAGAATTCCTGCTGGAGGGACAGACCTGCATTCCCCAGGACATGGAAGCTACAGAGGTAAAGAGAGGAGAGGAGAGAATAGGAGGTAGAATCGCATCTCAACAGTATGTGTGGTATAAACAATACTAAAGTCTGGGGCAAAACTACAACACTATTCTTACCAGTTGTCATACAATGTGGTGAAAAATCCCTGCATGCGCTCCAGGTTGGTTCTGTACACTGGAGAGTCATAAATATCCAAAAGATGCTGAGAGAGACCTAGAGAACACACATATAGAGAAGGTTTAACCCTTGTTTTTTTTTTTGTTTTTTTCCAGATGATGGCGTAATGTGGGGGGAAGCATGTACAAAAGCCTCCTCTTACCAAGAACCACATTTTTCTCTGCATCCATCACCTCATGGGCCCTAGAAAAGGTCTCACTCAGACGCGCCATGTTCTCTGGCATGAACAGACTGTTGTGTGTCCTGCGGTGAGGAGTAAATAAAAGAATATAATAAATTAGAATTATTATTGAGACACTGTTAAACCTACTGATAACCATTTTACACCAATAACCCATGTACATGTCCCACCTAAACAATCAAGATCAGACTCCGTCTATAACATGTAATGTAACCGAAAAAAAAAGTTTGTTCACACATTACACTATACCATACCCTTATCATGTGAACATTCCCTGATATGGGGATATTATGGTAAAAGAGTATCAATCCACTGGTGTACCTGATGAGAGCCAACAGGTTGGGCAGCAAGGTCAGAAACTGGGCTGTGCAGGGGTTTCTGTAGATGGGGGCTCCAGCAGGGGTGTAACCCGCAACAAAGCCACCGGCCTTGGCTTCCTCCAGGTCTGCAGGCCAACGTGCACGTTTCACCACCCCCAACATGGCATACAAACAAAAACTCAACTAGAGAAAGGTCACAAAAAAGAGGGATAAACTGTTAAATAATTTATCACCAGATACTTGCAGACATTCCCATCAGCCTCAGCAGTTTGTGCTTAGTGCCAACTAGCAAATGCTAGCATGCTAACACACAAAAACTTGGATGATATGGTAACAATCACCTGTGCCTAAATATAGTCTCAGGGAGCTGCTAGCATTGCTGTAAACTCCTACTCTTATTAATAAAATATAAACTCCAGGCCAAGCCAAAAAAGTGGCTCAGAATTTAAAATGTGAGGTTTTGAGGTTGACACAAAAAAATGATGACTGACATATTCTATCTGGCAAGTTACTGACAGGAATTGTCTTTGACTGTTTATTTGATCTGATTGGTCACACGGACCTGACAGTAGCTCCTGAAAAGAGATGCTGGACCTAATGTGTTCACCTAATGGTTTGGAAACTTTACATGTCTCTGGCATTTTCAAAAGTTGAAAACCCCTCTGTGTCCAGCAGTGTTAAAAGCATTTCAAATTTTCAGCACCCTGTGGTTAACTTGTGTTTTATTTATTTTCAACTGCAGTGCTCTGAACTTTAGTGCAATTTATTTTGCAGGTTGCACACGCAACCCTTTGCAATGCGGAGCAGAAAAAAAAAATGTCTACAACGTCTGAAAAAGCCTAGTGACAGAAATTCACAGTCAGGACAAAACACTAGCCCTTAGAGCTCACATACTAACTCAGTTTACAACTATACACTTACCCGTCCCCTATTAAGGCCTGTTGTGTCTGAATCTGCGCTTTGCTCGGTGACCACCTGATCCGCTCCAACGAAGGACAGGAACACGGCAGGGTCCCACAGCACACTGAAACACAAAGACGCCATAACAATAAAATTCTCCGTCATGATATTTAAATACGTCATGTATAGTTCGAGGGAAATAGAAAGAAATCAAACGCACTGCCTCATCTCATCTGAGGTCCATTCTGTCACCACTGACGCCATGAGTTCGTCTAGAAAAGCCTTCTGCTTTGCAAAGTCCTTGAACTGGTTACTGATCAGCACCAACGCTTCCATCAGTGAACATTTCTCCATGTGAGTCAATGTGGCGTCGCTGGAGAACAGCTTCTTCACATGATTGTAAAACATGTCGAAACAAGGCTGGAGAGGAAATGAAAAAAAAAAAAGTATTATACAGTGGTCTCAAATAATTACTCATGTCTATTCATCAGCACTGTGTGCTTCAGTTACATATTTTGTGCAAAATCTATGTCATGCTATTTTACTTTAAATAGGATGTTAGGACATTTACCAAGATGAACTGTGGGTAATCCCGGCAAATTTTGATGATAGAAGAACAGGCGTGCCTCCTCACATTCTTTACGGCCCGGGTCCGAGGTGCCTGAAGATGGTAGTTGGAGGATATATTTTTTTTGGTCTTGGACATGAAGAATGAAGAAGAGTGCTGATATTTAGCTCTGTGATGGCAACTCACCTTATTGTCCTGACCGATCTCAAACGTGATGGCTTTAAAGAGCTGCAGAGACAAAACAAGAGAAGAGCAAATCCAAACTTTAATATCCACAAATACCCAAATCTCCACATCTAACAATCAAGAAAGCCGGTAGGTATACGGTAGACACACATACAATATGTAGCAACCAATGAGGACTCATCTGACCTTGTATAGGACCTGTGTCAGGAAGTGTGGTCTGTGTATGACAAACGGGAAGAGGGCAGAGACGTTGGTGAGCACACAGGACAAGATGAGCGGGTCTTTGGTGTCGTAGTTCAGCACGGCCTGCAGCAGCTCCATGCTCTGATCGATGGGCAACTTCTGCAAAGAAAGACGCAGAAAGAGGACGCAAAGAACTCGCATCACTACAATCAGCACTATTTTCTTACACAGTTTTACTCTGTGTGCCTAAAACCTAGCTTGTGTTACCTCCTCTTCCAGACTTTTGAAGATCTGTGTGACCATGCACTCCATGAAGATGGTCATCGCATCCCATTGGACCACAGATGGAGACAGGAGGGAGCACAGGCCCTCTGCAGTTTTAGCTGGTGAGGAGTTGGAGAGAAGTTTATTCGCTGTTTATAAAAAATTCATGACTATCTAAACTGGATTTTTTTCACCCCACTCAGCTTGCTCTGAAATTGAGTGATCTGATAAAAAAAAACAAAAAAAAAAAAAAACAAGAAAAACATCCAGCCCAGCAAAGAAGCAAAACACACAGGTTCAGAGTTATCAATCCCCCTCTGTGATGAGGCACTTACATGTGGTATCCCCCATGTCAATAGGGCTGGCAATCTGATACTGTAACCATTCTGCTGCTATCTGAAAGGCCTCCAGAGGAACAATGCGACATGCACTCCTCAGCACCTCTCCCTGCTGCGCTCGAAAAGCTGTGAAGCATGAAAACGCACCATGAAAAACATCACGCGGATAGATTACTAAAAGTATTCATCATAAGCGCAGTAAATCTGAATCCATAACACTTACAATTAAAGAATGAGTTGAAGTCCTCGTCGCTGTCGAAGTCCACACGGGAGTACTCACAACTTGGGTTATCGTCTCTAGATGGAAACCCAGTCTGGTGTGGGAAAGAGAGAGAGAGAAAGAGAGAGACAGACAGACAGAGAGAGAGAGAGAGAGAGAGAGAGAGACAGAAGCAAGGCAAGACCTTTAGTATCACCCTGTGTGGCTCTCCGTGTACACCGGCAACTGACATCACTCTCACCTTGACTAGGTTGGTCATAGACGCTCTGAGGTATTTGACGGCCATCTCCACAACGACCGCATCCTTCGACAAAGTCTCATGTCTGAACAAAGCTCCCCATGTAGCCAGAGTGGACGACTTCAAAAACTAAAGAAAAGGGGGATCCACAAGAAGAGATGTTCAAACACAGATGAGGGATTCATATTATGTTCACTCAAATGCAGTCTTTAACAAAAAGATTTGTCATCTCACCTGACTGGAATGTGTAGTGAAGGCTAGAAGGGCTTCCGTGTACTTGCTGAGATTTGCAGGTACTTCAACCTCAACCTCTGAACCCTGTGGAGAGAACATGATATTTCTCTATGATCAATTGTAAACAGAAAGTAAAAACTTGCTCCTGTTATTTTACATAACGTGCGTGTGTAGACCAAGCCCAGATAAAAGATAAGAATTTAGGAATTCAATCTGTGGTCAAATCGGGATAAACTCACCACTAATGAGCAGAGCTGTCCTCCCAGAGCACACAGGACCTGACACAGCCTCTTGAGGAAGATGTAGCGCCGCTCCACCACCTCCACTGCTCTGCACATATATATACACAGGACTATAAGTGACACAGCCTGATGTAGTGAACACACTGTTTAATAACTGTTTTACATCGGTTTACTGTGCTCCACATTAGACAGAGGATTCACATGACTTACTGTGATTCAGAGGATTTCTTAGATATCGCCAGCCCATCTGCTGACCTGTAACCAGACGGACACAAACCATTCAGTGACAGCGGGAAAAGGTGAGTTAAAGAGGAATGATGCGGGGAAGCGGCTGTACTCACTGTGCTGCAGAAAGGATGTAGTGGATGGCCACATCATCGAACAGCAGCATGAATGGCTTCCTATCCTCCAGCTTGCCCTGTTTGGTTATACACAGCTTATTATGATCAAATAAATGACAAATATCCAACTACTACCTACATTTTCATAAACTGTACTGTAGCATGCCTCACCATTTCTATGGTTCCATAATCAATAATGGAAAGTTTCATATTCTAACTAGAAAGCACAAACCTTCAGTGCTGCACTATTCTCTATATGTCATTAAATGTCTGTCAACATTTGGATCAGTATCAACGACACACAAAAACCGACAGTCATGCTCATTGGCTCATGGTGGATAGGATTTTTGGAGGCTTGATAAAATTTGTAGGAGTTGTTGTGAACAGAAAAATTGCAAAATTGAGTCTGTTTAGGAATTCAGAGAAAAAGATGTTATAAAATTATAAAATAATAGTGTTAATAGTGTTAATAAGTGCTTTGAATGGCCACATGGTAGCGCTATTGCTCTGGATCTGCACCACTTCCTTCAATGATCCATAGACCAACTTTCCAACAAATTCCATTAAAATCTGGTATGATGTTTTTAAGATCGCATGCAGTAGTTACTATGTGACAAGCAAAGATGAAAAAAACGGTCTTTACAGCTATCGGGCGAGCATTATGACTTAACCACGGCCTCTCAACACGTGTTTTCCCTGTGTCTCACCTTCCGGCTGATAGCGATGAGCAGGCACTCTGCCGCCTCCAGCTGCAGCTCTGGCTCACTCAGCAGCAGACACAATATTTCCAGTAGATGGCAGTTTCCGGAGGTGATGTGCACCAGAGACACCCAGTCAATGTAGCCTGCAAGTGTATTCAGCGTAGCCACAGCGACTCGACAGTGAGCTCTGGCCTGAGCGTAGAAAAAAATTAGTGGACGAAAAGGGGAAAACGAAGGGATGAGCGAGGAGCGTGACACCAAGGTGATCAAAATAATCAAGTTTGTAAGAGGTTCATTTTAGAGCAAAGATGCCGTGGTGTTTTCGCACCTGCAGTTCATGTCCGGGCATTCCTTTCTGAATAAAAAAAAAAAAAAAACTTCACTGTTAAAGTTTTTCTTTTAGCAACATAAATAACAATGTAATAACATATCAATAGACAAGAATCATTATAATGCTGAATAATTTCTCTTAATACTACTTATTTCTACAAAATAAAAGATGAGACCCCACTGACCAGTTTACGGTAGTCCTCGACATTGAGCTGCAAAATTGCCATCATGAAACTGAAGATGCTTTCCATGTTTTGGGTGAGTGTCTGCTGGATGTCTCTGCGTCGCTGAGTGGGCAGCGTCTGGAAGGTGATCACATCCTCTGCCAGCCTCAAAAGGATCAACATAACCACCTCTGTCTGTGCCTCCTGTGAAAGGCACAGGTGAATTTTAATTTTCAGTATTCACTTAGTTTTCACTTTAAAAAAGCCCATAACCACAAATATCTGAATTTTTTTGGAAAGTTTGCTCGGAAAGGCCAAGAACTTAGTTTGCATGGATAAAACAATAAAGTAGCAATAGTTGTTGAAAGATGTAGATATTGACCAGTGGCCAAGTTGACATGATGACGTCCGGTACTTATTTCCATGTGTGTTATTACATAACTGTACTCAAATTGCATGAAAGCTGCACTGTGCAAGTTACTCACCCCTTGGCTAGTGAGAGCCTCCATCTCTTTCAGCATATCTGGCCAATGCTGAGGCCATTCTCTCTTTATCATTTCCACTGTGATTCGTGAGAGGGCATCTTTGATATGGCTCTCCTCCTCCAGGATAGAATGGGTACCCTGATGAGACCCAAAGCAAGTATCAGACAAGTGTTTCAGTTACATTTTAACCATAAAACAGATGGTTATATTGTTAACAGCATGTTACCATCACACTTACATTTGATAATAGCTGCATGGCACACTCCTTCAACTGGACCTTCTCTTGTTGTTGCATGTTGTTCCATCGGAACCTGCGAGAAAATTACGCTTTCTTTCAAATATCTAGCTTTTAGCATGTTATTCTTTGTTATAATTGATTGATGCTTTTTATATTTCACTCACTTGATGACGTGCTCCAGGATTTGCAAACCGAAGTGTCTCACTACAGCTGGTTGGGCTTTATCGGCCAATTGTAAGCCACATGGGACACAGAAGGAATTTGTCTCTTTAAACTCTTCACAAAACTGTGGTGAAAAATAAAGCCTGTTACATTACAGACATTTCAAAGTTTTTAAAACAGATGATACTTAAATCAATTTAATATTGTCTAGAGGCTACAGCCAACAGCTGTCTCAGCAACATTACAATAAATAGTTAAATAGCATAAAGCTAACCTTCCAGCTAGCCAAGCCAGGTGCAATGGGAAACATGTTAGTTAGCCTTGTTAGCCTCCGCAGGGAAATCAGTAATCAATCCAATGTTACCATTTCTATGAATGAATGAAGGTGAGTCGACAGTGAGGTGGTGGTGAGGTGTTAATCATGGAATACCGGCTAGCTCGCAAAGCATCTGGCCATCATCCTTGCGTATTTAGCTTACGTTAACGAACGTAAATGAACCGTATGAGCGGTGCTGTTACTGCTAACCCTGCGGATGAAAACTACCCTTTTATTCAGCCTCGCAGGGACTTGATTCTACTTTTACAACAGCTGCACATAAATGACAAGCTCGGCTAGATAGCAGTTAGCTAGCAACCCATAACGATGCTACCTTTAGGGCCTCCAGTCGATAAATTTGGCTTGTCTCCGCATCCATCATCACATTCACAGCTTTGATAAGCTGATCACACATGGCAGCCACCTGGTCAGCCATGACTTCAGGTAGCGTCTGGCACACTGTTAAGACGAAAGCAAGGAGCTCCCTTATGCAAAACACCTGCACAGCAGCAAGCTGCGTACGCTCAGGGAGGTACCAACGTGCAAGAAATGTGCTGCCTGCGTGTTTGATCCTTTCGCTCGCCGTTGAAATTGAATTCTGGGAGTAGTAGTTGAAGCGCCATTTTTTTGAAAGATCGTCTATGTCCTGACAGAGAAATCACTCCTGACTTAAAAAAATGGTGTGCCTTAAGTCTGATAAAAATGTTCGTCTTATTTCATATGAATAGATAACGATTCAATACATTCTGCAATGATTTCATAAATGACAAAAACTAATTTATAAGAAAATATTATTTTATCATTTCTTTGTGGAAATAACATTCTGTGGATTTTTTTTTTCAAAAGTTTGTTTTTATTCCATAATTTTATTCTTCCTTTTCATGACAGTTGAGTTGTCACTAGTCAACATCCTCTCACCTTTCATCTTATCAAATTATTTCATTCACTTATTATTTCATTTTTTGGAACTTGATTAACAATTATTTCACAGATTGACTTACTAATTACTTTACAAATGAATACTTTTGCATACAAAATATATTAAGAGTTTATAAAATATGATGCTGTGTTATAAATCAAACTATGTGATAGTACATATAAGTAGAGCTTAAACATTTAATCAAACAGAAAATTAATTGGCAACTATTTAGATAATTGTTTAAGTCATTTTTCACACAAAGATGCCATACATTTGATTGTTCCACCTGATAAATCATGAAAATAACCAGGAGATTAATCTATAATGCAAAACTTATCATTGTTGCCATCATGTTGGCCAAAATTAGCTTGTTAAATTAGCAAATTGACTGCAACTTTCTGCAACTACATCAGTAAAATGCTGTAATGATAATCTGTGGTTCTAATATAATATAGTCACAGGGGCCATATTTTGATTTGAGTACTTTTACTTTTAGTATTTTAAATTCACTCTCCTGATTATACTTTTGGAATGTATGACTTTTACGTGCAATTGAATTTGTTTAACAGTGTGGTATTAGTACATTTGCTTAAGTAAAGTATCTTAATATTTCTCCACCACTGGTTATTGTTTGTGAACTGCTTGGCCTCTACTCCAACTTCAGCTTTCAGCTTTTCAAAAATGATTACAGTGAGACCTCTTACAATGGTCCGATTCAACTCTGGTTAATTCCTACCTTTAATGTAAGTTTAATGCGTCGCCAGGACTATTGTTATCCACGTACGTAATGTTGACCTGAACCAAATGTTTAAAGAAATAAGCTTTTACGTGCAACAAGTGAGTGCAAAGTGTGATGGTATTGTTTCATGTTTACACCGGACAGGTCTGGCCGGTGGGGGTGTTTTCCGTTCTAGAACTAGGCGGAGCTTGAATTCCAAAGTGGAATGAGTTTCCTCTCGATACGTCACTCTGGGATAGGCTGCGAGCCACCGAGCAACACTGTCAGTCATCGGGGTTTCGGGCTGATTTCCATCTCTTTCTCGGGTAAGTAAAAGCTAGAAAATATCAAATAATACCGGAACATATTTATAAGTTGTTTTTCCGTTGCTTGCCCCTAAAATATGAGTTTTATAGCAGTGCTGCGTGCTCGCGACGAGACGTTACAAAGTTCTAAAGCGATGCTCCTCACACGCAACTACAACGGAAACTTTTGTCGTGAAGGCCTTGTTATTTGTTGCAACAGGTCCGCGGGATACACGTATCAACATTTGTATATTTTGTTTTTTGAAATGTTGGTTAAATTAATGGAATAACGATATGCTATGTTTTTTTTAATTCAGGACGGGACCCCCAAGCAGGAGAAAGTAGCCTTGCCCGTCGTGGGTTTAGGCTCTGGGATTAAAGTGATCGCCAGTCCCATCGCTTTCGTCGAAAACTGCCAGAGGGGATTCATGCAGTGTTGGTTAGCTAAATGCGGTACGAAGCTAAAATGATGCCGGTGAGTTTATGTTTTATTTACAAAGCTTCAAATTTTAACGTTGTCCCATGGATTCATATTTCTGTTTTCGACATTATATCGCCGCACTAACCCCGAAATGTTACCACACTGTGAATTACCTGGACATTTAAATTGACGTGGCAAGTTGATGCGGTTGCTACTTTGTGCTATTACTATGGCAACACAGGCTCGTGTTGTGAAGTTTATTATCAGTGACAGCTGTGTGTGTGATCTGAGCATGTGATTATACTGTAAATAACATAATTTATTTGCATTCTGGCATATTATTCCACGTCTGCACGGCAGTCTCGCATGTAAACCAGTCAAAGTCCCCTGCGTCAAAATGCCTGGTTATATTCCAATATTGGATCAGTTAACATTTACCTGGCATGATTAACTTAACTTTAAATTCATTCTATTCATTTCTACGCTTTGTTAGTATAAATACAACAATTCTGCTCGGACACACAACAAGCAGAAGGCACCTGCCAAGTCTTGCTGGCACTATGCCAACATCAGCTCTGGACTTCTGCCATGTCATCACCATCATCATCATCCTCATCAGAGGTCCACTGCTGCAGAGCAAGCCTCTATCTCTCAGCACTTCTTTGATGTGTGCAGAGAGGGCAGCGGACAGTGGTGCATGTGCTCACTGTAGAGAAATAACCTTCTCAGCAAAGAGAAATAGTAGACATGTTTTTTAATAATGCCTATTTACTTCTCTGTTTTGAGCCCGCTCACTTGCTGGTAAAGGAGCAAAGGTCAAAGAATTAATGGCTGCAGTGGTAATGAGCATGAGCTAAAAATCTTATGGCTAGAGTTTTATTTACCTGAGAATCATGGCAAATAGGGCTGCAAGTACAAATATTTTCATGATGAATTTATTATGAATAATTTTTTTCAATAAACATAAATTCTATAAAATGTCATAGAATATTGAAAAATACCCCTGACAGTTTCCCAGAGCCCATTGTGACATAGTTATTGTTGTAGTATTCCCTTTATGAATATACACAACAGGGTAAAGTAGCTAATCTGCACATTTTAGAGCCTGAAAACAGAGAATGTTTGGCATTTTGTCTAGGTTACTGACTCAAATGATTAATCTGTCTTCTCAAAATAGTTGCTGGTTAATTTTCTGTTGATCACTGAAGCAAGTAACCTTTTCAAAACCAGGGCGATTTCAGCAATAGTTTTCAGGATGTTTAGTTCATAGTGGAATGGACAGTCTTTATCAGAATGTTAATATTGTAGTATTAACTGTTTAGCTGCCTCAGTTTCTCTGATTAATTGTGGACCATGATCAAATATGTGAAATCATACGCAGTTATGCTTTGTTCACATTGATGTTAACGGATAAAATTGTAGTGTAATCCTTTTTGTAAGTATGCTCAGGCTATACTAATGTTGCTCTTCTCAACTCAGACCTGTGCTTCCACTAAAACACCTTGATCAGTGAATTAATCATCTTAGCAATGGAGGCAGAGTTGTATTTGGATAACTCCTGTCTGGTGCGTGACCTCAGTCTGCTACTGGCACATAGTCATTTGTTATCACCAAGCTCAGTTCTCATGGACACCAATATCACCCTTGCATGTTGTCATACAAGATCTATTTTTTTTACACGCCATATGAGACCATGGTTTCCCCTGTACCCTAACCTGTGAATATATCTGTGTGTGTGTGTTTGAATGAGATACAGCTTCTGCTATTTGCCTGATAAACACAAAATGGCCTCTATGGGGCCATGTCTGATGTGAGGTATTGTCTTAGAAATTACACCCATAGCCCATGACCCTACTTGTACAGACCAGAGGCTCATGGGGGTAGTGAGAATGTAATGTCGTAATTGCTAGCCGGGGATGGTAAATAGGGGGTCACTGTTTCTCGAACACAATGAGCTGCAGCGACTCTTTAACAGTGTGTTGTGAAGAGAACATTGTTTGTGTGCCTGTGCTGTGGCAGCATCCTGATAAGGGATGCTCATCCTTTATTGAACCATAGCATGTTATAACTCATTTTCCCCTGACTTACTCTTGTCTATGCTTAAACCAGTCTTTGTTCTGCAGACACTTAATGCCATATTTAAGTTTTGATTGTCTGCTATTTTATTAGCCCATATTTCATGTTGGTGTGCTTTTTGTTAAGATACATTATAGTCAGTAGACTGTTCTGGCAGCTTAAAAGAACAGAATCCGAAAAACAGGGAAGAAAAACGTGTTGGCGTCAGTCAGAATAAGTATCTGCATGAGTTTGGATTTCAAATGTTGCAGACACAAATCGCATATCACTTCCTCATTCCTTTCCCATATTCGAGTTGCTTGCTGAGTAGATTTTCAAGCAGATAAACTTTAGTGCACCCGACCTGCATTATTGAGTATTGTGTGCATTGACCACACACATTTGTACAATGTCTTGGTTAGACCACAACAAATCTCACAGTTGCTCGACTTTGTGGCAGTGTGATGATGGTGGGAAAATGAGGTGATGCTCTGGGAAGTCTGATTTTGCTGCATGTGTCAACAGAAACCTGAGTAGGCTTTCTCTGTGGCCACCACAGACTTTGTGTTTACTCTGTGGGAGAGTATGTGGTGGTTACGTAAGCAGACAGTCACATCAGTGGTAGACGAGAACATTCAAGGGCAATGTTTTGACTTTTGTCTGAAGAAGAAGGAGTTGTCAGGATGACTGTATTAGCTGGAAACTGATGTCAAAAATACTGTAGGATAGTAATGACACTTTTGTTTCCAAGCATGCAACTTGTTTATCTATGTAATATCATCATATGACTGACTGACTTCTGTATTATGTTATTTTGTGATTTATTCCACACTTGATGATCTCATAAACAAACAGAATAATTTTCTTGATAATAATAATAATATTTTCTTGAATAATTTTCTTAGTCTGTTAGACTGTGCAGTGCACTAATGGCCACAATACCAGCATAACATTAGCCTGGTTTCTGCAAGATAGCACACCGGAGCCACCTGAGCAGGTATCAACTTACCCACCTTGAAAAACTGAGTCACTTGGATCTATGAGGAATCCATGTGCAAAGCATAATGACACCTTAAAGTGGTGTGATTCCAGAAAGATTCTTTTTAACA